TCTACATCGGAGGAGGAGAGGGTGCCGATGCCGCTGCTCGTCCTGGAGAGCCCTCGTCGCCACGGCAGGAGGGTCTCCTCGAGACTCTGGCCAGAGCGCACCCCGAGGTAGAGGTCCAGGGAGTAGTGTTCAGTCGGGCCTGTCTCTCTACAGGGAGTAGGAGTTTGTTTTTTTAGGGTCGGGCGATCACCCAGGTTATCGGGCTTGCCCCCCCCCCCCCCCCACTCCCCCCCCAGGATAACCTAACTTTGCCAGCTGTGCAGGTCCGCGGGAGGGGGGGCGCGGGCATATGCTGGGCTGCCCACAGTGCGCGGGTTAGGTTATCGGCCGGCCCCCCCCCCCCTTCCCCCCCCCCAGGATCACCCGGATGATCGTCGCTTCGAAAAAAAACAACCTCAAGTGGTATCCAGCCTACGGTCGGGAGCTTGGGCGCGTCGCGCCGCCGAGGGCCGGGCCGCAGGGCCGGAGCGGTGCGCCGTCGCTCGCTCGCCTCCCGGTCGGCAAGGCCCGCCGCCCATCGGAGTGCTCGACGTCACGTCGGCAATACTTTGGCTTACAGTCAGCCCGCATAGTAAGGATGGGCAACCTTCCCAAGGGTACCCTTGCATCCTTGCCTCCTCGGTCCATCCTTGGCCGCTTTGGCTGACCAACCCCGTTCGAAGAGAACGTTAACGTGGCGCTCCAAGGCCCCTGCATCCTTGCCGCGCATCCTTATTGTACGGGTTGACTGTATCCTGCCGCACCGCTGGCTCTGGCCCACCACGCTTCGGCGCGGCATGCTCTCTGCGTCCAGGGCCCCCGGCCACAATGGCTCGAGTCGTTCCTGGCCTCCCGCCACGCGGAGCGGAGCGACGCGCGACCCGCTCGCACGGCATAGCTTGTCGCCAGGGCCGCCGCCGCGACACGCTGACCAGAAGTTCTCGACGGTCTCCCCGGCCCCACCGGTCCACGGTATCTCGGCCCCAGCAGTTTGTCTTCATCTTCGGTGGGCCCTGTCTGTCCTACAGGCTGCCGCCCTCTTCTTTTTCCCGACGCGGGTTCGGCACGAATTGGGCGCCCATTCGACGTGGATGCGACGCGGATTCGACAACGCGGGTGGCGGCGCGATGGGACAGCCCACCTTCCAACAGTCACTTTTCCGATTCCAGCTTCACATTGGCAGGCCCATGCTGCAGGTGGCGTGAAGGGGTCATCGCCGTCGTCGAGGAGACTCGGCCAGCGTGGAGGTGTTGCTGAGGGCCTCACGTCCTGGCCCCGACGTCCACCAGACGTCAGTTCCCAGAGTCCTGGCTCGCCCGGCGGATCGCCACGGCACAAGCCCACGCCGCTGCCAGCGCACGCAGGAGGGAGACGGGGGCCCGCTTCGCTTGGCCAAGCGCAGGCCGTCCTCGCGAGCAAGGAAGGCGCAGTGGCGGTAGGGGAGCTTTTGAGCTTGCGCTTGTGGCTATGGAACAGCACGGCTGATGACTAATGGATGATGATCGACGGCGGGCCTTCGTCGGCGTTCCGAAGGCTTCGCGGCGACGCGATGCGGGGCTCGGGACTTCGCGGTGCATCTGCGCAATGGCGCGGGATTTTGGAAGCCATTGTTGTGTGCTTGTGGAATCTGCTGCATTCCTTTTTACATTTTCCCCCTAACAGCGCTTGCAGTGAAGGAATTGGGCCTGTTCACAGCCCCTGGCGGCCCCGATCCCGTCCGCCGTCGCACCAATTTTCCCCATGGGAGGCCCGTTTGCCGCCCCGGGCCTCTCCGCCATCCGCCCTTTTGGGCTCCTCGCAGCCGTTGTAGCGCTGGCGCACTTCCCCGTGCCGCCACCGGCCCCCACGCCGCTGCCTCCCGCCCTGCCGGCGCCCTGGTCCTTTCGCAGCCAGCTGCTCCGCTCCTCAACTTGCCGGGCCCTGCCCGCACTGTGGCCGCTGCCTCGCCTCCCTGGGTTCACTGCGACGCCGACCCACAGCCGCTGCCAGGGGTGTCCCGTCAGCCATGCCGCGCCCACGCACCCGCTTCAGCCTCGCTGCGTGAGTGCGCCCCCGCGCCCTGCCACCCCTCTGCGGCCGCATTCTCGCCCCCCCCCCCCCTCTTGCATGCGGGCTAATTCGCGACGCCTTGCCCGGGGCTCGCAAAGATGCGCGCGCGGATTGCTTCTGCCGCGCTGCGACGTAAAAAGTTTGCCGCCCCAGTGGTCCGGTTCCTGCCCATCGCCGCCCTGCTGCCCCCCCGTCGCATTGCAATCGCCTTCGTTTGGGACCGCATCGATGGCAATGCATTCCCCTCGCATTACATTGCGTTACGTTGCATTGTTTCGCGCGTTGGTTTGCATTGCGTTGCCTTGCGTTGGCCTGCGTTGTTTTGCGTCCCGTGGCATTGCATCGTATTGCTTCGTACTGTTCCGTAGTACCTTGCATTGATGTGTATGATTTATTGCGTTAATGTTATTGGTTTATGTTCGCTTGCGCTGTTTTGCGTTGGTTGGCATTGCGTGGCGTTGCGTGGCGTTGCGTTGCCTGGGTGTGTGTTGTTTCTTGTATCGTTGCGTTATTCTGCAGTGCGCTGGTTTGCGTTAGCGCGCATTGTTTTGCATCGCCTTGTATGCTTTTTGCCGTCGCGTTGTAGTGGTGTGATATGCGTTGTGTTGCGTTGCCTTGCTTTGTGTTACATGTTTTCGCGTGGTTTCCCATTGCGACGCATTGCTTCGCATTGTGGTGCATTGTATTGCTTTGTGTTGCTGTGCATTGCTTCGCGTTGGTTGGCGTCGCGTTGCAAAGTGTCGCGTGGGTTTACATGGCTTTGCGCGTGTCCATTGGTTTGCGCTCGTGTGCGTTACGTTGCGCCACTTGGCATTGCGTGTCGTTGCGTGGCTTTGTGTTGAGTTTGTTTGCGTTGATTCGCGCTGTTTTGCGTTGGTTTACATTGCGTTGCCTTGCGTTGCGTTTCGCTGCCTCGCATTCCTTTGCATTACCCTGCGTGGCACTGCGTCGCGTTAAGTTGCGTTGGTTAGCGTCGCTTTGCTTAACATTGCAGTGTAGTTGTGTGTGTGTGCAAGATCGATTACACAATGGGGATTGCACAACCTAGACTGCACCACGTTGGTTGCGTCACTTAGGATTGCACCGAGCAAACCATTGTTCATGGTCCAAGCTGGCAATCCAATCGGTTTCGGCTCATCCCGCCTTCGTGCTTGGGTTGCGGGTCGGAGTTTTCGGGGATGGTTCTCGAGGTCTCTTCGGGGTGCTCTAAAATGGAGCCTTTGGGAGGCAGTTTTGGTGCCTTTTGGGGGCCTCTCGGGGTCTTTTGAGGGCCTGTTGGGGCCTATTGGGGGCGGTTGGGGGGCCACTTGGGGTCTCTTGGGAGCCCCGCAGGGCCGTGGGCCCTATGTGGGCCACCTTTGGGATTGGGCGTTTTCTGTGCCGTTTTGGAGCCCTCTTGGGATGTGTTGGCGCCCTCTTGGAGGTTCTTGGGCCGTCTTGGGGCGATCTTGGGAGGTTTTCGGGCCGTCTGAGAGCGTCGGGAAGCCGATAGGGCGAAAACGCAAAAACATCGCAAAAACCGGGGGGGTCAATGATTTTGGCCTCTTGGGGCCCTCTTTGGGAAGAGGCCTTTTGGAGCGTCTTGACTGCCTCTTGGGCCGTGTTGGGTGCCATCCTGAGCGTTCTTGACTGCCTCTTGCGATCGTTCGGCGATTCGAAGCCCTCTTGAACCATCTTGGAAGTCAGGCTCTATTGGCCGTCATCGGGCCGTCTTGGGCCCGACAAAACACGCGCGAGGAGGCCTTGGGGGAGCCCACGCGGCAAGCCCAAGATGATTGGGCAATTTGGGGTCCGAGCCCCTCACGAACTTTCAGGATCGAGGATTGAAGCTTAGGGAAATCGGCGAAGGACTTGGAGGTACGCCCACTTCGTGCCCAGCGGCACGGCGGCGGAGCACATCGATGTTAGTTGGGACGGTCCCGGGATGCCGCGACCCGCGCACCGGTCTTCGGCCCCCTTGCTCGGATCCCAGAGGGGGTGCGGGGGGGCCGCGGCCGCGCTGGGTGATCTCCTCGAATGTGATTATCTCTGCGCGCGCGGTCGCAGCGCCGTGCTCGGGCCCCGCAGGCCAGAAACCGAAGTCTGCAGCGGCCTGCGGAGGCGGCGGCCGGCGGAGGCAGGCCCCGCGGAACCCGAGAGGGGCAGGCACAGTTCTCCGGTGAGGTGGGTAAGTCAGCCAGTGAGGCCAAGGCATCGCGAGTGGGGATAGGCATTGGTCAAAAGATGCCCAGCCGCCGCCGACGCCGGCGTCGCCGCCGTCGTCGTCACGCCGACGGCGGCGGCGGCGTCGGCGGCGCGTAGTCTTCGCCGTCTGCGTCGGCGCAAGCAGCTGGGTTCTCCTTGGCCGGCCGTTCGTCAATCGATGCTCGAAGGAAGATTGCCTGCGCGAGCGCGGCGGCGCTCTCTTCGAGGTCTCTGCGCGCGGCGGCGCCGGCGACGACGGCGGCGCTGCCGGACGGTCCGCGGCGGGCGCGCTGCTGGACGGCGCGTTTGGGCCCGGGCTCGGCAGGTCGCGGGAGGGCGAGTTGACGCAACGGCAGTTGGCCTTCGGGGCGGCCCTGCGTCGCCACGGCTGGACCCCTGGACGCGGGCATTTGTTCCACAAGCGGCGTGTTCGCTTGGTTCCGGGCCGCGGGGACCAGCACATAGTTATAGAGCGGGTTCGAAGCATGCCACACTTCTGTATGGTCTAGGGGTGTGGCGATGTTATGCGTTTCGCAACGTCGGACCTCGGGGGACGGGGGGGCAGTTGAGAGGCAGCCGCAGCTGGCCTTCGCGGCGGCCCCTCGTCGCCACCGCCGGGCGCAGGCCAGGGGCCGATTTGGAGCTGCTGCCGCCGTCTCAGCTCGCCCCGCTCGCTCGGCAGGGCGCTCGGGGGCGCGGCCGGCGCGTTCCGGGGGCGCGCGGAGGCGCTGCTCGCCGAAGGCTTCCGCCTCTGTGCGCCCGCGGCCTGCAGCCGCCCCTCGGCGGCCATGGCGCTGGCGGCGCTGGCGCTGACGGCGGGCAGCGGCGCGATCCCGGGCGCCGGGCTGCTGCAGCTGGGGCGGGGCATCCTGGACGGCGGGGGCGCGCTGGACGCAGCGGGCGCCCTGCTGAACGTGCGGCTGCTGCGTTCCCCGGCGGCGGCCTCGCTGGAGGCGACGAGCTGCGGCCAGGGCCTCCTCGCGCTGCCCGGCGCGGGGGGCCTCGCTGGGGACGGCGAGGGCGAACCATGCATGCCGGCCCTGGCCTTCGGGACCGCGGGGCTGGGCGAGGGCACCGCCGAGGCGGTGGCCGCGGCTTTGGAGGCAGGGTTCCGGGCCTTCGACACGGCCACGCACCCCGCGGCCGGGGAGGGGTTCGGCTACGACCAGGGCGCCCTGGGCGCCGCGCTGTCGGCCGCGTGGACTCAGCGGCCGCGCCAGGAGATCTTCCTCGCCTCGAAGGTGCACCCCGCGGACTTCGGCTACCAGGGGGCGTTGCAGGCGGTGGAGAGGGCCGTGGAGGAGCTGGGGCCAGCCGCGGCCGGGCACCTGGACCTGGTGCTGCTGCACTGGCCGACGTGCGAAGACGAATTCTGCCCGCGTGGCGGCAGGCTCCGGCCCCTCGGCGACTTCCTGGATGCCTGGCGCGGGCTCGAGGAGGCGCGCTCGCGCGGGCTCGTGCGTAGCCTCGGCGTGTCAAACTTCGACGCGGAGCAGCTGGGCTCGTTGCTGCGGGACGCGCGCGTAAAGCCCTCTGTGGCGGGCCTGTGGGCCGACATCTTCCACCCCGTGCCCCGCGCCATGCGGCGCCTGTGCAGGGAGCAGGGGGTGCGGCTGCAGGTGTTCGGCACGCTGGGCTACGAGTGGTCGCAGGCTCGCGGCAGGCGCGGCTGGCGCGCCCCGCGCTCGAGCCCCCTGCTGGACCACCCGGAGGTGATCGCGGGCGAGCAACATCTTCGTTCGTATCCGCTGCCTTGCCGGCCAGGCCCCTGGGCATCGACCCCACGGATACGGGCATTTTCTGTTCGGGGATGCCCCGCGCGTCACGTATCCGTGCGACCGCGCAGCCGCGAGGTCGCGCCCCGGAGTCCAGGCCGCGAGGGCGCGGATCTGGATACGTTCGCCTCCCGCGAGGTGCGCCGCATCGCCCGGGCGCGGGGCCTCACGGTCTCAGAGGTTCCGCCGCAAAAGTATACACACAGACAGCCTCCAACGGATTGTTCTTGAGCCTCAGGGGAGGGTGGCGGTGTATAAATCACCACTGAGAGCCAGCGACTTTCTGCTCCGCCGCCCTCCCTGAAGGTACGTACAGAAAGTTTGTCGCAGGGCGTCTGCGCATAGATTCTCGTGGCGTGGAGGTGTGCCTCAAGTTCTTCCTGCAGCAGGGCATCGCCGTGGTTGCCACCTCGCGGCAGCCCGCGCGCGCCTTCGCGGCTGGCGACCTCCGTAGCGGGCGGCGCCTCTCGGGCGAGGACCTGGAGGCGCTGCGCGACCTCGAGGGCTTCCTGGGCTCGAGCCTGCGGCCGCTCTACAGCCCCGACCACTACGCCGGCATGCTCGGCTTCGACACGCAGGCGATGGCCCCGCCGCCGGGCGCGGCGTCCAGCGCGGCGGCCTGGAGCTGCGAGGAGGCGCGCGCCAGATCTCAGGGGCTCCGCCCCTCTGCAGCCGGCTGCGCGTCCATAGCCTCGCTGGCCGGTCAGCCGGTCTCTTGGCTAATTGGCTGGTTGGCTTATCGTGGTCGGCGTGCATGGTTGGCTTGCCGGCTGGTTGGCCGGCTGGCTGACTGGCCGTGGCTGGCTGGTTGGCCCGCTGGCTGGCCGGCCGGGTGGCTGCTCGGGTGGCCACCCGGTTGGCTGGTTCACCGCACTAAAGGGGCAGGGGGCAAGGGTGCGCTAGCGTCATATCTGGCGTCGTAACTCTCCCTCCCAACCCTTACCATGGCTCAGATCTTCTCTTTATGCGCACAGGCTCAATAATTCCGAGAGGGTTTGCGATGCATGGTAAAGCACGGCGTAGCATGGTGTAGAAGAGAAGAGCGCGGCATTGCAGAGTATGTCATAGCATGTCTTGGCATTGCGGAGTGTAGCATTGTATCACAAAGCGTAGCATCGCAAAGCATGGCACCGCACAGCGGAGCACAACGCATCATCGTATCGCATGCCATGGCATGGCACCAGATGCCTTGGAGGGTAAATGGCCCGTGTACGAAAGGAGAAGGCCTGTTCGGAATCTCGGCTCCATGTCCTGCGCAACCGTGCCTGCCCGAAGTGTGCGCTTTCGAAATAGAGTGAGGCCCCTCCCCTTCCTTTCGACACGCTGCCTTGCGTTCCCCGAGCCCCCTTCCAAGTCTCCCTGGGTTCCCCGGACATCCTTTACGAGGCGTGGCGGATGACCCGAAGACTTCCAGAAATTTCAGGGAACGCACAGGAATTGTCGACGGCGACAACGACGCAGTCGACGACGGCGGCGGCGGTCGGGGAAGCTGCGGCGAGCGAGGACGGATGTCAGGGAATAGTGCTGCGGGCTGCCAGGCTCGATGGTCTGGCTTCCTTGAACGATCGGCTCACACTGGGCCCCTGGACCCCTCGCTGCGTCAAGTCGGATCGGCGCTTTCCAGCTGGATCGTTTTTGAAGGTCACAGGGGGGGGTCCGGCCCAAAAGATCAATGAATCGGCACCGAATGTGTAATCACTTCCGATGGTTTCTTCGGGGGGCAATTTTGTAGATTTGGGGGCTTATTTGGAAGGACCGACAACCATGCCATGGCATGGCGCTGGAGATAATGACGCCAGCGCTGCAGCGGGAGCACGATCCGGAACGAGCGGGAACGCGGAAATAAGGTCAGCGTTGCAGCGGGATCGCGATTCGGAGGACGCGTAGCCTGGCATAGGTGGCGAAGCCCCAGAGTGGGGCTTCCGCGGCCCCAAAAATCAACAATTCGACACCGAATGTATAATCACCTCCGATGGTTTTTTCCCGGGGGGCAAATTTTTTGATTTGGGGGATCATTTGGAAGGACCGAAATCCATGCAGTGGCATAGCGCTGGAAATGACGACGCCAGCGCTGCAGCGGGAGCTCGATTCGGAACGAGCGGAAGCACGGAAATGAGGCCAGCGTTGCAGCGGGAGCACGATTCGAAACGAACGGTAGCCCGAAAATGAGGCCAGCGCTTCAGCGAGAGCAGCATTTTGACACAGTAGCCTGGCGAAGGACCCAACCATATGCAAGTGTGAGCACGGTCGTTGTATGCACCGCATTCGGAGGAGCTCCCTATAGGGTCACGCACGTGTGAGGGGTGTTCCAAAATTTGTTTGGTGGGCGCATGCGACAGCAGCCACTTGGGCCGTCGGTGGGATTCCCTGTGGGGCCACGAAAGGCGTGAGAGGTGTGCCGAAATGGGCGCCGTGGGCGCATGCGAACGCAGCCACTGGGGCCGTCGGTGGAGCTCCCTATGAAGCCGCGAATCGTTTGATGGGTGTGCCGAAATGGGTGCGGTGGGCGCATGCGAACGCAGCCACTGGCGCCTTCGGTGGAGCTCCCTATGGGGTCACGAAGCGCGTGAGGGGTGTGCCGGAATTGTTGTGGGTGACGCATGCGGGCGGTGGCACCGGGATCCATATGGGGCCACGAAACGTGTGAGGGGTGTGCCGAAATGAGTGTCGGGGACGCATGCGGAGGGTGGCACGGGCGCCTTCGGTGGAGCTCCCGATGGGGCCACGAAACGTGTGAGGGGTGTGCCGGAATAGGTGTGGGTGACGCATGCGGGCGGTGGCACCGTGGCCTTCGTTGAAGCTCCTTACGGGGTCACGAAACGTGTGAGGGGTGTGCCGGAATGGGCGTGGGTGGCGCATGCGGGCGGTGGCACCAGGGCCTTCGGTGGAGCTCCCTATTGGGCCGCGCAGCCTGTGTGGGGTGTGCCGAAAATGGTGTTGGTGGCGCATGCAGGCGGTGGCACTGGGGCCTTCGGTGGAGCTCCCCATGGGGCCACGAAATGTGTGAGGGGTGTTCCAAAATTTGTCCGGTGAGCGCATGCGAAAGCAGCCACTTGGGCCGTCGGTGGGATTCCCTGTGGGGCCACGAAACGCGTGAGAGGTGTGCCGAAATGGGTGCCGCATGCGAACGCAGCCACTGGGGCCGTCGGTGGTGCTCCTAATGAAGCCGCGAAATGTTTGATGGGTGTGCCGAAATGGGCGCAGTGGGCGCCTGCGAACGCAGCCACCGGCGCCTTCGGTGGAGCTTCCTATGGACCCTGAGGTGTGTTGGCACCCGTTTTAAACGCCAAGTCCCGGCATTAAAAATAAAGGCCAGCGAAATAAACGCCGAACCACAGAACAGTGCACATATGGTAACAGGTGCAACGAATTTCATTGTAAAGACGATGCCGACTCGACTGATCAGCGTAAATCGTTGCTAAGACTAGCGCAAACACCGCGCTATTTCACGATAGACGCGCGTGCGCGTACGTCCACGCGGCTTGGGCCGCGTGGATTGAGTTAAGGGCTTGAGCCAAAATGGCAACGGGATTCTTGGTTTGATCCATATGTTGTTTCTTTTCTTATTTCACCTCATTTTGTGTTGTCTTCCTGCTGTCCCCTCTCGCCGCCCGTCCTCCACCTCCGTCACCCTTCTCCCCCTCCCTCTCGTTAGGAGGGCCCCTCCTCATTGATTGCTGGTCCTCCTCATCGGCCCGTACCTACGCAGCTATACCTTCACAATATACATCGGGGTGCAGTCGGATAACAGCGCCCAGCGCTACATATATTTGACAACAACTGCAATTTCGAGGGAGCCGGCACATGATTCAACTGTAGGAGCACGGACAGAAGTTAATGGAGGATATGTTATCACCCAAGGAGTTCGACAGCCCAATCGATCTCGTCATCATCGACAGGATTGTTTCGGGCGGCCTCCTCTCGATCTAAAGTTTTGCCAGGTGCGCCGCTGAAATTTGCGACGGTCCACGAAAAAAGTGGCACCATTCATGAGGCCGACGCGTGGCTCACTCACGTGATATCCAAAACGTTACTTTAGCATTCGCCACCCGTGGGAACATTGAAAATTTACAGCGCCACCTCCACAACTAATCCGATTCCCCCGCCCGCCGCCCATGGAGAGGACGGGGGGAAGAGGGGGTCGAATCAATCAGATGTGGGGGCGGCGCTGCAAGTTTTCAGTGTCGTACCGTCTGTACAACGTATACATACATAAAATGGTCGATAGCAACATCCCTGTAGTGTTTGCACACGATGGGCAGGGACCGCAGCCTCATACAGAGCAGGACCGCCACCGACAGGAGTTGTGATGGAGGAGGGGTGAGAGGAGGACGGGCATGAGGGAGAGGGTGGGTACGAGGATCGGTAGTCGGAGAACAAGGAGGAGGAGGAGGAGGAGGAGGAGGAGGAGGAGGAGAGGAGGAGAGAAGGAGAAGGGAGGAGGAGGAGGAGGAGGAGGGAGGGAGGAGGGGGAGGAGGAGGAGGAGGAGAGGAGGGGAGGAGGAAGGGATGAGGAGGAGGAGGAGGAGGAGGAGGAGGAGGAGGAGGGGGGGAAGGAGGAGGAGGAAGGGGCGGAGGAGGAGGAGGAGGAGGAGGAGGAGGAGCAGGAGGAGGAGGAGAAGGAGGGGGAGGAGGAGGAAGAGGAGGAGGAGGAGGAGGAGGTGGAGGAAGCTTAACATGAGGAGGGGGAGGCGGGTACCTGGCACGCCCCGTGCGCGCCGATGCGATCATTGCGCTCCGCGCGAACCCGCCGCCTCGTATCTACAATGCCTCGGTTGAACTGGGCTTCTAACTCGATTGGTTCACGCATTGTGGGCGTGAGACATCACACGTTTTCGGGAATTGCAGATGATGAGGTTTGGAAGCTCGAGGAGGTAGAAACGGGGAAGGGAAGTGGATAGGGGGAAGCGTAGACCCACGATCGAGCTTGGCGAAGGGCGTCGCCCTGCGAGGCGACCACGGCGCCGCGAACGCGGGCAGTCTGGGGCGTCTGGGCATCGCTCTCATCTCTCCGCCGTGTCTCCCTCGGGCGCCCGAGCGCACCAGGGGTGACTGAGCGACAGCATCAGAAGCCGCATTGACCTTGCATTGACATTGCATGGGCCGCACATTGAAATTGCATTGACCTTGCACTTGCTGAGCTGTGCATCGCTCGCACGCCGTGCGGTGGCGATGCGGCCGCCTCCCGAAGCGGACCAGGTGAGGGACTTGCGGACGAGATGGGTGGTGGAGGCGGAGGGGCCTTGGTAAGGGGGTATGCACGCGGGTACAGTGTGGAAATTGAGGGAGAGGAACGCGGAACCCGAGATGCGGAACAGGAAGCGGGCATAAGGAGGCGGAGGAAGGGTGTGGTGGACACCCCCTTCATCCGCCTCCCCCGTCATCCATGTCCTCGCCCCCCCCAATCGTCACGTGTCCCGTTCCCGCACATCCTAATCGTTAGTGTCTTCCATCACCCCCTCGCATGCCCCCCCCCCACGTCATCTCATCCGCCCTCGTCCGCTTCGGTGAGGGGCGGTTGGGCGACCGCAGCAGGACGGGCGCCAGATTGCAAACGAGAGCGCAGCGTCCCCCTGGGGGGGGGGGGGGTGGCCTGCGCCAACCGCGCGCACCCCCTCCCTTCTCCAGAAATTAGGGTC